CCATCAAACACTCCCAGGACAGGGACAGCATGGGGTTAGATACAGAGAAGCTCCTTCTACAGTGTCCTCATCAAACAGTCCCAGGGACAGGGACAGCACGGGGTTAGATACAGAGTAAAGCTCTGTTTGATGTACAGTGTTCCGCCTGCATGTCTTCTCACTCTCTCTCTGTCTCTCAGTCTGTCCCTCTCTGTGTCTCTCTCTCTCTCTCTCTCTCTGTGTCTGTCTCTGATTTGTGCAATATCTGGTGTGGATCCTGTGCTGGAGTGTTTTGAAGTGAAGGGTCAGACACACCAGGGTCATTTAGAGCATTGAGCTCCTTCAGTCTGTGCGTGATTTGGAGACTGAGTGAGTCTTTCACAGCTGTACGTTCCAGCTTTCGTGGCCTCCACAGTGCCTCCTGTAAATTGGTTTGAGTGTGGGTTATATTTCAGCTGGCCTGGCCTAGCCTGTACCTGTGGTTAACAAAGCCTGACTTGCCAGTAATGTCTGCTTCAGTAATTTCAGTGTCTTTCAGTTTCAGTTATTCTGCTTTGAGCACTGTGCACAGTTCCGGATGTTGTTGTTCTAACTGTTGCTCTGCGGTGATGCCAATCATTGTTAGTTTTATCATTGCACTTTTTTTTAATTGCAGAAATTTAAATATTAAAATTGAGAAGCATCCTTCTGTTGCATACGGTCTGTGGTGAAAATCAGCCTTGAGCATTTACATTATAAATTCATTCTGGCAAAATAAATGCATCTGTACATACACGGACTTTGTTTGAAAAGGAGACAGATTTGTACACCAATATTGCGGTATTCCAGTTTAACATATTTAATCGATGAAAAATATCAGGCCAAATTTACCTTCGAAAACAACTTCTATCATCTTGAAATTAGGTTTATAAGACATCAAGTGACAGTATAGTCCCTTATAGCAATAAGTTTCCAATGATATAGATCCGTTTGACCGAGGAACCCAGTAGCAAAATGTCGCAAAATCATTGCCTGGACAGACAGATCCACGTTTTGCAAACGCCCATGCTTTAATGGTGTTGAAATAGTTACAAAGTTGATCCCCATTGTGGCTGAGTTTAGCTGAAGACACTCATGATTGAGCTGCATTAGTCACACATTAATCGCTAGGTTAAACGGCAGTCCTGGCGCAGCGAGAGGAATTGGGACAGAGTGCCTTCCCCTGGTTTGCTGACACCATGTCAGTAAGTGTTGTGTGTGGTTGCTGAGTGCGCAGGTTTATGGGCAAGGCCCCTCCCAAGGAATATACTGGATCCAAATGCCCCTCACTAAAGTCTGATCACCTTTGGAATGGCATACAATCGCAAAGTGGACACCTGTGTCTCTGTGAGGTGGCACGGGGTGGGGTGTGTGTGTGTGTGATCTGATCCCAGCCAGCTGTCCCCATGCCCCCAACCCTGGTGATGTAACTCCATTCTCACTCCCACCCTCTGATAGCCAGCTATGTTCACAGTGAGCAGACAGTCACCGGTTCTCCCTGTTCACAAGGATTGTCTGCTCTTGGCTCCATTACAGAGGATCTGTGTGTGTGCGCGCGTGCGTCTGTGTGTGAGTATGAGTCACTCCAGTCTGTGGATTGTTCACTATCTTTAGCTGAAACTAACGGGACTTAGGGGTTTATCTAATTCTTCTCCCTTTGCTTTTGCAGATTTGTCCAAGAATAGACTTTCTGAGATTCCCTGTGAAATTTGCCAGTACATCTCACTGGAGACACTGAATCTGTATCATAACTGTGTGCGGAGTATTCCCAAAGCAATCACCAATCTCCAGGCTCTGACTTACCTCAACATCAGGTAACAGTGTGGGTTATACATCTCCCCCCGTTGGCTTCTACTTCCCAATGCTCCGGCCAGTGGGAGCGCAGGAAATAAGGAGGCACAATCAAAAATCATTTCATCACTTTGATTCAATCTCCCCTTAGCCTTCTCTACTTCAAGGAGATCTCCATGTTCAATCACACCCCTCGTCGTGGGGACTATGCGAGTAAATCTTCCTCCGTACCACCTCCAGGGACACTGGTGTCCTTCTGAATGCCCAGGGCCCGGAATTTGACTGGGGAAAGAGGGGAAATGAACCAGGGTGTTCCTGCTCCCTGCCCAGTGATCCTGGGATTAGAGAGAGAGTCAGTGGGGGGGGAATGGGGAAATGAGCCAGGGTGTTCCTACTCCCTGCCCAGTGATCCCGGGATTAGAGATAGTGTGGGGGGCGGTGGCGGGGGGA